CAACCACTGCGCCACCAGGGAAGATCCCACATGCCGCGGAGCGGCTGGGCCCGTGAGCCATGGCCACTGAGCCTGCACATCCGGAGCCTGTGCTCCGCAGCAGGAGAGGCCACAACAGTGAGAGGCCTGCGTACCGCAAAAAAAAAAAAACTTATATTGCATAGAGCTCTATCTGAGATACAGATATCCTAAGCTCTCTTCCTGCATTTACTCAGTATATCTATGGAACCAACAGTGTGTCATACTGGAACAAGGACACATGGTCCCTATCTTTAACACTGTGTGGAAAACTCAGCAATTAGTGTTCTAGGGCTGACACAGTCGTGTAACTCTTGCCCATGAAGGGGAAGGAGTTTGTGAGTGGAGAGAAAGTAGAGCTCATATACAGCAGGCGAGAATAGAAAATAATGGAACTGACATCATTCATCTGAAAGGATTTGCTCTCATAAGCCGTGGGAAGGGCATTCCTGTGGACAGGGAGCTGCTCAGATGCTTCACACACAAATGACTTTGCAACACAAGCAGGCCACAAGCTCATGTCCTATAAGCCCCAAATTGACAAAGAAAAATCAGATTCAATCCCAGATACAGATGACCCAAGGGAAAATTTATAAACCAACATGCTCCACCCACAAAACTCTAAGCTCAAAGACACACAACCTGCTACCACTTCCTTCACATGCATATTCTGCTATACCCCTATCCTCCCCTCCCCCCATTTTGCCCACTGGTATTTGGTTCAGGTATGGAGCATTCAAGACAGAAGCACTTCAGTGTGTCTGTGAAGACAAATGAAAACATGGCAAGAGGGCACATGGAAATGACTTTGAGTGTGGTTTCAAAGTTTATGGGCTAATAAAAAATTAAGCCTTACTCTACTCTCCTCTTAAAGAGTAAGTATCCCCATTATTCTTTTCACACCCAAACTAAGTTGTTGTGTCAATGACAACAATGTTTTCAATAACAATAGAATGAACAAATTTTGAAAAACTAAATATAGGGACTTTCCTGGTGGCACAGTGGTTAAGATTCCACGCTCTCAATGCAGGGGGCTGGGGGTCGATCCCTGGTCAGGGAACTAGATCCCACGTGCACGCCACAACTAAGAGTTCACATGCCTCAACTAAGGAGCCCGCCTACTGCAACTAAGACCCAGCACAACCAAATAAATAAATAAATATTAAAAAAAAAAAAGAAAAACTAAGTATAGGTCACCAAGCTCTATTAATTAACATTTTTCATCCAGTGTCTACTGAGCACCTACTCTGTACCTGCTCTGAGCAGAGGAGATAAATAACGAGCTCAACAACCAACATCAAGGTCAACAATCAACAACCAACATCAAGGTCAACAACCAAATACGATACAATGTAACAACTGCTCAGGGAACAAAGCAGAAGTGTGTCTTCTCCTGAGTGGGTCAGCCCCTGCCCTTGTGTTGTAAGAGGTCTGCAAGGGGTGTGAAGATTTATCCAGGAGGTAACACTCTCACCGGGCCTTCCTGAAGGCGAGTATCAATCCCGGGGAGGGGATGCGGGAATGCCGGGCAGGGTGCGAGCAAAAGGCACCAGGCAGGGGAAACCACTGGGGCCCGGGCTTGGAAAGGAAGAGGAGAAGGCTTAGATGACTGGCCCACACCTGCGGTGGAAGTTGCTAAACATTCGGCTACAAACTTGTACCTATAGTAAGTAACTCTTTAAGTAAACTTCCCAGTATGCACAAATTATGTCAGGCTAAACGGATTGCCCCCTCCCTTTTCAAAATATTTACGCTTTTGTGACCAATCATCAGAAGTCACAGGCGTGTTCTTAATATTAAAGGAAGAAAGGCTTCAGCTAGCAACTGTTTCCTCTGATGGCCCTATAAAGCCACGTTCAACTATACTTTATATCAAAATGGTTTAAACCTAAAAAGGTCCTGATGAAAAGAAGCGCAATCACAACCCATCAACTCTTCTGCCTACCACTCTAGATAAGACTTTTCCCCCCAGGGTGAATTTCATACGGCAAGTTCTGAAAAATTAACTTCGAAGAACACATGTTCACCCCCTCAGTATTCTTAAAGTTCCCCCAGTCAATGGGTCGGAAGTAAAAGAGCTTTAACACGGGGTCAAATAAACCCAAACAGAGAGGGAGTGAGTTTCTCTGGGTCCAACGTGCTTCTCTACCATTCCAGCAAGTTGGGTCGAGTTGTCATCTTGTAAACGTTTCCCCCACTCTCATAGGTAGGGGTGACGCTGATACATCACCTTTGGATATGTGAAAAGAATCGAGTCACTCTGGGAGGACCGACGCCTTTTCTCGGGACCCGAGACGCCGGCCAGCTTAGGGGGCCCGGGAGGCAAGCCCCGGCCAGGAGCCGGAGCCGCTGTCAGGGGAGGGACGGAGCGGGGCGGAGGACGGGCCCGGGAGGAAATCTGAAAGGAGGCTCGAGCCCAAACAAAAACAACCCAAAGTTGAGCGCGGCAGAGGGAGCAGATTGGGCGAGACCATTCACGGCTGCCCATTGGAGAAAAGGGAAAACAGAGTCCCCCAATCGCGAGCGGCGGGGCTGCTCCCCTCGTGCGGCCGCGGGCCGGCCCGGCGCTGCCCGGCGGCCGCTACCGCTCCCTTCCGGCGGCGGCGCCCACTGCAGGGCCCGCGCCCCCCGGCCGCCGCCCCCGGCGCCGCGCCCGCTCCTCCTTGGGGCGCGTCGAGGCCCCGCCGCCCCGCCGTTGCGCTGAGGGGCCCGCGCTGCCCGGCAACACTTCCCCGTCCCCTAAGAATATTAATCACCAAAAATAATTCCAGAGAAAAATGGAGAGTAAAATCCAAGATGGCGGCCCAAGCCGCAGCACCGCCCGCTCCATCCGCTGTCGGGAAATGAGTCCCAGCCGCGGCCGGAGCCCCCCGCCCCCACCGCGCCCCCGCGCCCCCGCGCCACGGGCCTCACCTCGCCTCGCCTCTCGCGCGGCCTCGGGGTGCAAAAGGCAGCCGCTGGCCTGGGGGCTCCGCGTTCTGAGTCCTGGCGCCGCGCGTGCTGCCTCCGGTGCCTGGGCGCCCTCACCTCATAGCCCCGGAGCCTCACCACCCGCGCCGCAGACGCGTCGCCGCCCCCGGTGAGCCGCTCGGACGCCGCCCGGGAACGGTGGAAGGACACGAAAAGGAGTTCCCGCGGCCAGGCGGAGGGACACCACTTCGGCTCGTACCGCTCTGGACGCCTCTGTTGCTTTTACGGGACCAGGGGTGGGGGGAGGCGGAGAAACCCGAGAAAGAAATGAGTTCCCCGCCGGGTGCTCCCGCGGCGGAGGAACAAAAAGCGAATTTTGAGGGGATGAGGTGACTCGTTGCTTCGCTCCTCTCGCGGCGGAGGGATCCGTATTGAGCAGTCGGCAGGGATCCCTCCGCTCCTCGCTGCCCTTTAAATTGCGGCTGGAGGCGGTGCCGCCGCGCGTCCCTGGGGCGCCACCCGGATCTTGGAACTCCTTACGTACCCGGGCCCCGCGAGACCTCCTTCGACACTTGGTCCCTGGCACAGCTGCACCCACCGGGGACAGCCCTGGGGAGTGGGCAGGCTCCTCGCCCACTGCGCCTCCCGGGTGCGTCTAGGGGAGGTGGCCCCACGGAGGCGAGCCTCTTTGTTGTGGGAATGGGTGTCACTGGAAGCAGATACACCCTTAAAGACCATGTGGGCAGCCTGAGCGTTACACCGCTTAGTGTGGGAGGGAGGGAGAGGGGGTGAGCCTGCATTAATCGGACCACTGGCTTCCTAGTGTCAACCGGCTATTTCTTGAGCACCTACTGTGTGCCAGGCTTTCCGAGAAACGGGTTTTTCAGCTTCTCGCTCTAGTTGGGCAGTGCCGGTACCAAGAATGCACCTCCCTCCAGGAGCTTTAGGCTGGTGGGGAAGTTGCCCAGAGGCTCACACGGGCCAGGTGCTGCCCTGCTGGGAGAGTGCGAAGCCTCGCCCTTTGGATCCTGCAGTTGATGATAATGACTACAAAATAACGATGAGAGTAACATGTATTACAGCCTTTACTGGATACCAGGCACCGTCCTCCAGCTTTGGTGCCCTATCTCCTTTACTCCTTACAACGACCCCCAGGAGGTGGGGACCGTTTTCCCCATTTTATACGAAGGGAAGCTGAGGCACAGAGAGGTTAGGTGACCTCTAAGACAGCCAGTCAGGGCTTGAGCCAGAGCCCTTATCCAGTACTCTGGTCAAAAGCTCAGACGTCAAGAAGTTGAGGTGGCCACAAGCCGGGCAGATGCCTAAAGGTCTCCCCCAACCGGAAGAGTGGAAAAGGGAGTGGTTAGGAAAGGTGAGCCCAACAAGTGCAAAGGCCCTGGGGGCTGGGTGGGGGAGGGGGTGGTAAACAGCCTGAGGCTCCCGGAGGTCCAGCGTGGTCATGCAAAGAGGAGGTGGGCAGCACAGGCCCGTACTTCTATTCCGGGAAGAGACCCACGTCTGCCATGGTTTCCTGCCATCCCCAGGGCCTGGCACGGAGTAGGCACACCAGAAAGGATGCTTCAGTGGAGAGTGTGGATGACCACAAGGTCTGTGGTCCAATGAACACCGACCACCAACACAAGCGCTTACCCCATTTTCCCTCCTCCTTGACCCTTCCACAGATGGGAAACTGAGGCCCAGTGATTTGCTGAGGGCATGTATCTAACAAGAGGTGAAGGGAGGTCTAGATCTTACAAAACAGAGCTCCTCCCGTTGCCCTCCCCCTCCCCCCTGGGGAAGCCCACCTGGTGGGGTTGGTGGGTTTGGGGGTGCAGAGCCTTCACCACCCTTCCGGTAAAGCAGGTGCAGGCACATGGCCCTGCACCCTCTGCTCTTTAAAAGCCTCCGGGTCATCTGTGACATCAGAAATTGCCTTGCCACGTTCCTCTCTGCAAGCACAAGTAACGAATGATTGCTTTGGTTTTATTCGCTTCTGATTTATCGCTAAACTTTCTTTCCAAGATTTTCATAGTGTTTGGCTCTAAATACTCAAATTGCATCCCACTGAGACTGCCTTTGCCACCCTGTTTCCTCACTGGATGCCCAAGGGAGGAGAGCACAGTGGGCACCACAGCCCTGTGTGGATCCCCCTGGGTCTCGGTGCCTAGGCCCCAAGTCCAGCCATGCCTGGGCAGCCCTTCACAGCCCCAAACGTCAATGTCTTCCCCACTCCAAGCTTTCCAGAGTCCACCCCGACAGTGACCCCTGAGGCTGACACCCAAACCCTGACTCTGAAAAGCCCCCAGACTCCCAAGACATTGGAACTCCCACTCACTAACCCTAAGTGCCCAGCACCAGGCCAAGCATTCTGGGTGCAAGGGAGCAGGCTGGGGAAGGGCAGGGGAGGCAGATGGGCGAACCCAGACACAGGTTCCTCTGGCTCCCCGGTTCTGGTTCTGTCCCTCCCCCATGCCCCCTGCACTGCTGCTCCTCCAGCCTCAGCTGAGAGGCCCAGGGTGGCCGGAGCTCTCTGCAGAGCCGAGCTGGAGCTCAGGACCTAGATGGGGCCACGCTGAAGGGAGGCCAAGGCTGAGCTGGGAAGAGGCCACAGCCCCGAGCGGCCCTCCTGGGGGAGACTGGAAATTCGACTTCCCCACAGGGAGTGTGGCCAGCTGGAGGCCTCCTCCTGCCAGCTGGCAGAGGAGGGGGGATGGGGGACAGGAAGTAGTGTGCCCAGGCACCTGCCCAGCCCCCACGTGACAGGAGACATTGGCGTTTACACTGGGAAGCCGCTGGATGCCCCAAGTGGAGGTGCTAAGCCACAGAGGCGGTGGGACCCCACCAATCCCGGACAGAAGGAAAGGTGACGACTCTAAAGAAAGACTGAGTTGGCGGAAGGGGCCCAGGCCAGCCCCGGAAGTGCCAGGAGTGCCAGCCCAGCCCGGAGCTGACCTGGGAGCCACACCCTTGCCAGGGTGTGGGCTGAGGCCACAGAGTCACTTCCAGTCCCCCCAGTAGGGCCCAGGGGCACCTCAGAGACCTAGCCTGATCCCACCAACCCTGCATCACTCTCCAACTCCCCTTCTTCAAATACCAGGTTCACCCAGCAGCTGGCTGGCAGGGATTTACTTGCTGGAATCCTGTGCCCACAGGGGGGTGGCCCACAGGTCTTGCTGAGCCCAGAATTCCAGGCTGGGTGGCGAGTGGCTTCTCATTGTTAAGTGATATCTTGGCTTTCAGACTCTGCACTCGTGTCTCGCCCACACTCCGTCCCCCACCCCTGCCCTGAAGGCAGAGCTGTTCTGATGAAAGCAGGTGCCCGAGTAGGAGGCGGGGGAAGAGGGACAGGGACATACCCAGGATGGTGCCGGGGACCTGTCTGGTTGGCTGCGGCTCCCGCACCACCTGCCTGAGCACTGCTACGCCCGCTGCACCATCCTTGCCCCTCCACTGGCCACCCCTCCCTTGATAGATGAGGAAAGGTCGAGTGACCTGCCCAAGGCCAAGTCAACAGAAGCCACAGCAGCCAACTTTACGGCAGCTGTGAATGGGGGCTTGGCGTGAGTCTGACCTGGGTTTGAATCCCAGTTCCACAACTCACCAGCCACGTGATTTGGGGCAAATGATGCAGCCTGTCTACACACCAACCCCTCAACTGTGCAAAGGTGCCAGTCCTTGGACCTGCCTAAGTAGTCTCATTCGTAGCTTTAAAATCGCTTGCGTACTGAAGATGCCCAAAATCCCATCTACGGCCTGCATGTCTCTGAACTTCCGACACCACGCTTAGGTTTTAATAGGCATTTCAAATATAGCAAGGCTAAAATTGAAAACACACACACACACACTTCCACCTCTCAGAGAGAGATTCTTCCCATTGCTCAGGTCCAATACCCAGCTTTTATTCTCCCTTAATGTCCTGTGTGTTTTGTTTGTTTATTTTGTTTTCTCCTTAGTACACATCACCATCTAGCATCCTGTATCTTTTACTTATTCACTGCATGTACTGACTGCATCTCTTCCAGGCTGTAAGTTCCTTGAGGGCAGGGGGCTTTGTCTGCCTTGTTCACTGTTCTATACTCAGCATTCAGAACGATGCCTGGAGAACTGGTACAGAGGCTTAATCCATGAAGACTAATGCTAACCTTCCAGGATTGCTACAGGGATAAAAGGAGGTGTAAGCAGGTTTTTAACCACTCTCCTCTTTCTGGGGCTCAAGCTCACGTCAAGGAGTTTTCTCTGCCACCCACCCCCGCAAGTGCACAAACTTCCCTGCCTTTCAAGCTCAGGGCTGCCTTGGGCTTTGTGTCTGCCTGGGGCAACCCCTTAGGCCCCGGGAAGAGCCCTGTGCCCCTGAGGGGTGGTACTCTGTCGGGTTCCCACCACCAAAAAGGAGCCCAGCCATAGCCACCCCTGTCCTTTCAGACACACCTGGAATAAACACAGAGAGGACCAATGACAGCTGAAAAACTGGTTTCCTCAAGGGCGGGGAAAGCTTACTCTTATTATCAGTCAATAATTTCAAACTCACAGGAAGGTTCCAAGTATAGCGCAAAGAATTTTATTTTCCTAACTGTGAGCTGTTGCCGAGATGCTCCGGGACTTCTGAGCAGAGTAGGGTGTGTTTCCAGGAAGCTGAGA